CGCAGCCCAGCCCCCCACGGCTCCCCAGCCAGCCCTTGGCACCCCGTGGCTTCCTACTTGGCCACCCTGCAGGAGCAGGGCACATCACATGAGGGTGGCAGCCCAATGCCAGCGCCAGGCCGGGGCCTCCTCCAAAACGTCAGTGCAGAAAGGGCACCGCGACGTGCGTGCGGCACTGGGGCAGGGACGCAGGGTGGGACAAGACACAGGCCGCTGGGGACACGGGCTGGTGGGGACAGCAGGGCGGGACGGGAGCTGGTGGGGACGTGGGCTAGCAGAGCGGGCTGGCGCAGGGAGCCTGGCCCGCAGGACGCGGGCGGACGGGACTCACCTTCTGGCTCTGCTTCTCACACTCCAGCCGCAGCATCTCGCAGTCGCGGAACTTGTTCTTGAGCAGGTCCTGCTTGGAGGCGGAGAAGAGCAGCCCTTTGCCGTCCAGGGGCCCAATGATGTCGTACCAGACGGGGCAGCCCTCCCGGTCGTAGCCGCACATGCCCCCGGACATGTATTTCCTGATCACCTGCGGGAGCAGAGAGGACTTCAGGGCCGAGGTGGTGCGTGGCCCTCAGATGGCCATCGGGTACCCCCAGGCCAAGGGACGCTTCCGTCGGGGACACTCGCCTCGGGGGGCTCCCAGCTGACGATGTTGTCCGCATCCATGTGCTTCCGGACCTCCACGTGCTGCGAACGCAAGGCAGAGCAAGCTGAGCTGAGGAGACCCTCCATTCCCACGCTGGGTGCTAGGGATGGGGAGCGCTCCGAGCCCGACCGCTCCGAGCCCTTGAGCAGGGCGCACAGCAGAGGGGTGTCCCATGTCAGGAGAGGAAGGGGCAGCTTCAGGCACCCCTCATTGGGCAGCGTGTCCCACACAAAGCATAGGCGAGCGGAGCCACGGCACAGGGGGAGGCAGGGCCTGGGAGCCAGGCCCGGCGCTGGGGTTTCCTCCCCGAGCGCGTCGCCCTCTCACCTTGCGGAGCATCGCCTCCGACTTGGGCAGGTCGAAGCAGCGCGCTGCAAGAGAGCAGAGAGGCGCAAGCACGTCGCAGGGCTGGGCAGAACTGCCTCGCTCGCCCCGGGGCTCCCCGCAGCCATGCCAGCCCCTACCCAGGACAGCTCCCTGACAGGCCCTGGGACACGGGGGAATCCGGACTGTGAGCTCCACTATCGCCAAACCCGCTGCCTTTGCCAATCTCGGCTCTTATCACCTTTCTAAAGTCCAAGAGCAGCAGGGTGCCAAGGACGCGGGCCCCAGGCAGCCTGCCTGCCAGGCAGCCCCCATGGCCGGTCAGGCCGCAGCCCAGGAGCCCGCGCTGCGTCCTGGCCACGCGGCCCTGCGGGGCTCCCCGCCATCACCCACTGAGCACCAGAGCAGGCCGAGCCCTGCGTTCTGGCATCCCTGGACTCCTCAGGCCGCCCTCCCACTGCGGTCCCCAGCGCCCTCCCCGCCTGTTACCTCGGAGCCATTTCAGGAGGAAATGGTCGTCCTGCGAGGGGAGCGAGGGCAGCAGGTCCTTGATGTTCTCCCGAAACTGCAGGGGGAAGGGGGGCAGCGGGTCAGCGCCCAGAGCCCCCTGGCACCTCTGCGAGGCACCGGCGGAGCAAGGCTTGGCACTCGCGCCCTGCCAGCGGCGATGACGGCCTTCAAGAGCGGAGGGCTGCCTCGTCCCGCACCCCCCAAGCCCACTAGGTGTGACGAGCAGCACAGTCTCCGCTCCCTGGCAGGGGACTGTCCCTCCCCAGGCCAGCAGGAGGCTGAACCCGGCCCAGGCCATCCCTGAGCTGGCCCTCCGGCACCGGGTGTCCCTCAGGACACGAGGACAGCCCCGGACACTGATCCCGGTGTCCCCAGATGATGCAGGACCCAAATCCACCCCCATGCCATACCACTCAGGGGCCTGCCCTTAATGAGGCCGCTTAGGTTCAGATGGCGCTAATCTAGGTGCAATTAAACCCCGGATTAGCTTCTTCACCCTGAGAAAAACAACACCGCTCGCGAGGGAGCTCGGCGGGCCGGCCCGGCACTGCGGGTTTCTGGGCTCGTGGGCCCTCTGCGGGATTGCATCAGGGAGGCGGCGGCGTGCCAAGGGGCACCCACGGCCCCGAGGTGGGCGAGCAGAGACGCTGGCAGCACCGGGGCTCGGGGCCTGCGCCCCGGGACGGGGTTTAGTTGCCTTCAAAAGCAAGCGATAAGATAAAGTCAGTGAAGTTGCCCTCTCATCGGGATTAAACTGCGCAGGGAGATAAACCCCTCAGGTGGTGGCTGTAAACAGATAAAGGTGGGATGGGGGCAAACCTGCGCGCTCCCGGGACCTCGCTACTCCCCAGGCCTCCGTTTGAGCCCGGCAGAGGATTCCCAATGGATCTGACACCCGGGCTTTTAGGACACCCGCCTCCAGCTCAGAAGCCACCCAGGAAGCAGGGAACTGCTGTCACTGCAGGTTTTCCAGCCTCCAATGGGCTCAGCGCCTCCGCTCGGGTCAGGGCGTGATGGCGCGTGCCACACCGCCACCGGGGCCGCGACTGTGCCAGGACACAGCCTGTGCCACCCTAGGGGTGCTGCTGGAGCCGGGCCTGCCCTGGCGAAGTGCCCACGGGTTCCTGCAGAGCAGCGGGGTCAACGACACGGTGGGCAGCACAGAGGGGCCAGGGCTGTCCCCCCGGG